GAATGGCGAGTTATGTCGTATGGGTGTTTTGCTATCAGTCAGATCAGGTTGTGCGGGAATCGCGGGTTTTTTGTATGAGCGCATGTCCATTGACTAGTTTTTTTCTTTATTTTGTGATTGTTTTTTGTTGTCGTTTTTTGTTTTGTTTTTTGGTGCATGGTTATTTAGTTGGGGTGAGGGTCAGTGTTCCAACTCTTTGGTCTTCTTAGAAAAGTGTTGATGCAGATGCAGCGCCAAAGAGGTCGCTGCCGGCGCTCTCTGGACGCGATGCAAAAGGGGGCAGCAGGGAGGGGAGGGGTGGTGGAGGGTAGGGGAGGTCGTTTGCTACCATTACCAACACGGCGCCCCCTGGATCCAAACGGAATTCATTACCGCCTGCAACCCGGCCGGCCCCCGCCCTTTGACGGCGGAAGCACACGTCCCTTCTCCCCTCCTCTCTTCTCACCCGTACGCTGCTGATCCCCCCGTGTTATCACTTTCTGTATTTCTACGCTTTTATCTCTTGATGGTGCTGAGCCCGCCTGTATCGCGTTGTGTTGCAGCAGGTGCCGAGCCGTGCGCCGCCAGGCCCGCAAGGCCCTCGGCTAGGCCAGGAGGTCCGATCATGCCACGATGGACGGGGAGAACCGCATCATCCTCAACGTGGGCGGGATCAGGTAACATAACCTTGTTTCTTTATCATCATTAAAAAAAATATTCTTAAACCTCTGCCTCGACCGCCTGATTTTGCCTCTTCATTTTATGGTTGGCCTACTCTAATCGAGTGCTTCACATGAAAAGACGATTTTTTTTCCTCACCGTTTTCTCGAGGTCCTTTCTCACTTCTCCCCTTCTGTGCCGCGAAGTGTATTACGCGATTCCGACAAAAGTTGCCCCTCAGGGGAGAGCTGCGCAAGCTGCTTGGCCTCGGCCTCGACGGCGGTCTCGGCGAGGAGCAGCAGCAAGAGCAGGGGGAACGTTTTACGCGGAATGAATAAGGGAATTATCGCGAGCCCTTGAAACGTCAAGGATGAGCTTATTCAAGGTACCGTAATGCCAGGGACCACCTAAGCGCTGGAGTCGGTTTTGCAGGAGAAAGAGGTGGGGAAGGTGGGGAGGCGGGTAAAAAAAGAGTTGGTCTTTTGTCCCAGTCATTAGGGGCCCTACTCCTACAGCCTCGGCGCCGGTCCAGCCGGGCCCCGCCGGGTCGGACCGGACCGACCATTCGCGGGCACAATGGTCCCGCACTTCGGGAGAAGGGGAGCAAAAAAAGGGAGGGGGAAGGATTGAAACGGCTCGTAATTTTCTCCGCATTCGCACAGGTACGAGACTTACCGGACGACGCTCAAGAAGATCCCTGCAACGAGACTGTCCAGACTGACTGAAGCCCTCGCCAACTATGACCCGATCCTCAACGAGTACTTCTTCGACCGGCACCCTGGCGTGTTTGCCCAGGTGCTCAACTACTACAGGTCCGTCTTTCGAACATCTAAATCAATCATTCAATCTTATTTCGTTCCATTCGTTACAACAATTACTGGGCAAGTCTTTTTTTACACTCGATGTGGTGTGCCACAGGACCGGGAAGCTGCACTACCCAACCAACGTGTGTGGCCCGCTGTTCGAGGAGGAGCTCGAGTTTTGGGGGCTCGACTCGAATCAAGTGGAGCCGTGCTGCTGGAGCACCTACAGCATCCACAGAGACACGCAGGTGAGCACGCTGCACGCCGCTCTACCAGCAGCAAACGAGTGGCGACTACGGGGGAGGGGAATTTTCATTCGGGGACTTTGTAAACAAACTGGCGATGGCGAATTTCGCACAACGTATCGACGCAATCCGAATTTGTATGGTGTAAATTTTACTGTGTTAAATCGGAAATTTTTCAGTAGAGAGTTTCAAAAAAATGTTTCCGAAATTGTTCTAAAAAAAATTACGTATTTTTTTTCAAAAACATAATTTTTGAACGTGTGCATCTCTAGTGCAAAGCAAAACCCCATTCTGTGCTACTCGATTGTGCGCTCCGCGACACGCGAACGCGGCAGTTGGGCGGGGCGGGTGTGTGTGCGTGTTCGCGGCGCGGAGAGCGCCCGGAGGGTAGGCAGCCGGCGGAGGCGAGCGCGCCCGAGCGTGGCGGCTCAGCCTGCACCCCGGGCGCTCCTCCGCGCCGCCGCCGCCGCACCGCACCGCGCGGGAAACGTGTGTGTGTGTGTGTGTGTTTGTTTGTTTGCCTGCGATGCTCGTGAGTTCGTGGACCCTGGAGGCGGGGAGAGAGAGTGGAAATTGCAACGTGTTTGCGGCGGAAACAGTATAAACGCGCGTGGGAACCTCGCCGACACCGTGCCGCTGGTCTATGTTCCGGCATAAAGTTCCATTTGCTCCCGCTCGCCCTTTTGCCGGCCGTGCGCCCAATAAACTCAACCCTCCTCGCTTGACTTTTCTTGCAGACGACACTCGCCATCCTGGACAAGCTGGACATCGATGCGGAGCGGCCGTCGGCCGAGGAGGTGGCCCGCCTGTTCGGCTACGAGGAGGACTACCTCGCCGGCAGCCTGTCGGCGTGGCAGCGCCTCAAGCCCAAAGTGTGGTCGCTGTTCGACGAGCCCTACTCCAGCACCGGCGCCAAGGTGAGTGCGGAGCGCCCCTGCGACGCCCCCGGACGGGGTTCGCCGCGGGGGGGCTCGGGTACCGCCGACACTTTTCCTCATCGCAAGTTGTGACCCTCTTCTTCTAGTATGTCGGTTCCTCTTGTTCCCCTTTTGCCGAGCCTTTTGCTATAGATGCTGTCTGACGTGTGTGACTCTGCGCGACGACGGTAGACTTTTTTTCTTTTTATACCACCCAACGAAATCATTCGTTTCTATCCTTCCTGCCGTACTTGGTTTGTGTTTGTGAATGGCCGGCGAGTGGTAGACTGATTGTCTCATTGTCTTGCGCGCGCGTGTGTGTGTATGTGTGTGTGCGTCGCATGGCCAAAGAATGGGAATGGGTTCAGCAATTTCGTTTGTATTTTCACCACACGAACCATTTGCTTCAGTTTTTTTTCCGCGTGTGGAGAGTATAATAAACGGCAGAGTGGTGCGAGAGTCTGCGACGCAAAACGGTTGGAATAGCTGCGTGGACCGCACAAATATAACGTTCGGGACGGGACGATGCGGAGCTGCGGAGGGAGACAGCCGGCTGCTCCCACGACCTTGACCTTCCAGACGTGCACCGTGGCCTGGACTTACCCCCACGCGTAACGAGCAAGGCGTAGAGAGAGAGAGATAGACACACACACAGAGAGAGAGAGAGAGAGAGAGAGAGAGAGAGAGAGAGAGAGAATATGGCCGATCTGCTCGGGCCCGACGCCCACGTCGAGGAGTAACAAGCTCCGCGCCCCACGGTGTGCGGTACGGGGATTTGAGCCCCAAAGCAGCGAACACATTCCCCCCCCCCCTTGCTTCGTTTGGGGATCTACGAGCGGGTCCCGAGCCCACCCAAAGAAGCAGCAGCAGGACTAACGACAAACCAAAATAAAGCAGCCGAAAGGGAAAAAAAGAAAGGCAGAAAAAAAGAAAGTATTGGGTCGGATTGGTCGATGCAAATGTGGGGATGTAGTCTCGACCGTAGCAGGCAGGCAGGCTGGCTGGCACAGGCTGATCTGAAAGCAAAGACGGCCGGAGCGGGGAAGAGGGAAGGGGTGGGGGCCTGCTCCGCCTTTCGCCTCTTTGTCCCTTGCCAAATTGGTCCTGATGGCACGGAATCATGCCGATTTGACGCGGCAAGGGAAGTGAGGAGGAGAAAGGGGGGGGGGGGGCCCCGCGGGGCTGTATGGCCGTGCAGGCCCGAGCCTACCCTTCAGCCCCCCCCCCCTTCTCCCTCCCGCCAGGGGTTGCCACTGCGCCGCTCGCGCGCGCGCGCTCTCTGCTAACTTCGTTACCATGTCATCTCGGGTCTGTCCCGGCCGCTCCGCTCCAACACCGCTCCGCCGGCCTCTGCTTTGTCTCTCCCACTCGCCGGGGCTCCGTGGTCTGCTGATCCAATAGACGACGACGGAAGGGGGTTTCATTTCACAAAACTCGACGCACTTGTGTGTGCGCCGTTGCGGCAGCAGTCCCCCCATCCCCCCTCCTCTTCCTCCCCTCCGCATTGCGCAGCCACCTGGAGCAAAGCGGTCGGTCGGGTACAACACGGTGGGCGCTTTAGCGCGCGTCGCTCAGCGGGCAAAACCCTTTTATACCGAAACAGGACAGGTCTGAGCCGTGATAGGGGGCAGGGAGGCGGGTGGTGGAGGCGAGGGGGGACCACTACATTGTGGTGGCCAAAGTGTTTCGCGCACGCAACAAAGGAGACGGAGGGTCGTGACGACGAGCTGCACATTGAGGCACTAGATGGGCGAGACGAGCGGGAGCGCCGCCGCCGCCGCAGGTAACTTTACCCTCCTACTTGCGAATAAACGCCCGGCGTCCGGCCGCGTGCGCAATTGTTGCAGTATTTTGGCGCCCGCGTTATGCCAAACTTTACAGCAGGGAGTGGCAGCGCGGGGTGCGGCGCGCGAGCAGGGTGGGGGGTGGTGGGCAGGCAGGCGGATAGGGCGGGCGGGCCCGCCGCCGCCAGCGGCGCTGGAAGTGTCGGATTAAATTCCGTCATAGAACATCGCCTCCAGCCAGCCTAGCAGCCTCTGCCTCTCTCGCCCCCACGCGGCCTGCAGCCCGCACCACGAGTTTGGGGCGTCCACTGCTCGGGGACTTAGGCCTCTCCCACGGCCGCCATATAATTGCGACATTCCTTCTCCTCGCTCAGCCCGTTCTCGGCACACTCTCGGCCTCCACCTCCTGCCTCCTTCTCCACCTCCTGTTTCTCCTCAAGCCAAGCTTTGTCCCTCCCCTTCGCCCTTCCCCCTGCGCCCAGCTCCTCCTCCTCCGCCAAGCCGTCAGGCCATAGCCGTGCATCTCACTTAATTTTTCGTCTGCTGGTGCAGCGGCGCTGGAGCCCCGCGGCGGGGTGGTGGTGGTGGTGGTAGGGAGGGGGCCCGTTAGGGGTTGTTGGCCCCCCGCTGTGGGGCTCTCGCCGCCCCCGCCGCCCCCCCGCCGCCGGGGGAGCTGCAAGTACCTCGGCAAGCACCAGGCCGCCGCCGCCGCGGAGAGCAGCTGCTATGGGCCGTGATGACGGATATGCTGGTAAGCGGTTCTGCGGCGCGCCTCGATGGACCACCACTTTGGAGAGGCCCATTTCGAAGGGCGTATGGGGGGTGGGGGTAAGGATGGGAGAGTTGACCCAGCAGACCCCGACGCTGCTGCTGCCCGCCCCGCCGCCCGCCGGCTCTCGCTGTGCAGTCGGCAGATTGAGCCGTCCCAATGGGGCCATTGCACACGGCGCGCGCTGGTGGTCTCGGTCCCTTCCCACGAAAGCACCAGCCTCCCTCCACCCGCCCCTCCGCGCGCCCCCGCACCAAAGGACCAGCGAAATGTGCCGGCTGGGCCGGGGCCGCCGGGGCGTTGGCGGGCTGTGCCGTGAGACGTGTCCCCAGCGCCTTTCTTTTCTTTCTTCTCGCACCGGGAAGTTAGTTCCCCTCCCCTCCCCCCTCTCTCTCTCCACCCGACGGCATCCCCATAGACTCCCCATTCCCTTCTCTCTCTCGCCCCCGTGCCCACAAGACTCGACAAACCCGCCCTCCTGAAGAAGCTATGGAGCTGTCTGGTAATATCCCGCCACGCCACGCCACGTCCTGCGGGGAAGGCGGGTCTCAATGTGCTGTCCACACTGCGGAGCAGAACGAGCAAACGAACGAACGAGAGAGAGAGAGAGAGAGAGAGAGAGAGAGAGAGAGAGAGAGAGAGAGAGAGAGTTACTTTTGTCCGTGAGTGAATGGAATGGGCCTGGAGCTGCAGGCTGCCATTCTATCGACGGCCCTTGAGCGCCATGCTTCGTATACCACACTGCGCCAGCAGCCGCACTGCAGCAGAAACACGAGCTTCCCCAGGCGGGCGGCTGGTATGGCTTCAAGCTGTGAGGCCGCCGTGGGGGGGTCGGCTCGTCCCCGTCCGCAGGCTTGCGTCTAGCCCGCCCGCCAGGGCGGAGGGTCGCGGCGGGAGACGGAGGAGGAGGAGGAGGAAGGGGGCCTTGTTCTGCGCGTCGCCCTCTAATCTGGAGCCTGTCTTGGTGGCGTGGCCCCCGGCATGGCCTGCTGGAGCCCGCCTCTGCAGCCCGTTCGTGGGTAATCTCTGCCCGGTGTGGCGGGGCGGGTCGGGG